GCAGTTGCTACCTTTTTCCTTGCACTTGACTATATTTCTCAAGTTAAAAAACATCTAGTTCCAGAGAAACTTTTTCTAAGAACGGGGCAAAACAGAAAAATGAAAACAACTCTGGAGGGTGTGACTTCCTTGTGGTTGCACCCAGGAAGGGGCCAGACTAAACAGTTCTACTGCTTCTTTCTGAGTGCTCCAACAGAATGAGCGGAGCGTGGTGACGCACGCCCATCATCCCAGTACTCCCAGTTCATCAAATGAATTTATCCCAGTTTCCTCACCCATTCCCTCACAGTGGGATATTTTAACTTCTTTCTTTAAACCTTTATGATCTTTTCTCCCTTTTGTCATTCCAATAATAATGCAATGACAGTCTTCATGCGTAAAGTTTTTCTTCCAATGAGAATTATCTGTAATCCTAGTAGGAGGCAGAGATCTGAGGCTCACAGTTCAAAGCCAGCTCAGGCAGGAAAGCCTGTGAGACTCTTATCTCCAGTTAACTACCAAAAAAGCCAGAAGTGGCACTGTGGCTCAAATGGTAGAGTTCTATCCTCGAGCAGAAAAATCCCAGGGATAGTGCACAGGCCCTGAGTTCAAGCCCTATGACTGGCACAGAAAAGAAAAAAAATTCTCCAAGTGTAAACTTTGTAGGTAAAAAATATATGAAAATTAGCCAGGCACCGGTAGCTCACGCCTGCCATCCTAGCTACTCAGGAGGCTGAGATCTGAGGATCATGGTTCAAAGCCAGTCCGGGCAGGAAAGCCTGTGAGACTCTTATCTCCAGTAAAACCCCAGAAAAGGGGTCTTTTCTTGCACTTTTTCTTCCCTGGTGGGTGACTGGCGGAGTGGCTTAGCGGTAAAGCACCTGCCTAACAAGCATGAGGTCTCGTGCAGACCCCAGTACTGCAAACAAGAAAAAAAATTAAAAATCCTCACTCCTTCCCTAGTGGGGAGCAGGGCGGAGGTCAGGGGAGGGAACCAGACGGGCACCAGAAGCCAGCACAGATGCTCCGTGGGAAGACAGGAGGGGGCGAGAGTGACGTGTGCTGTGCGCAGCTGCTCCGGTGTGAGCATGGCTCCCCTCAGCCATTCGTATGTTAGAAGCCTGCGTCTGGGGGAAACCTTTAGAAGGTGGCATCTAGAGTCTGGGGCTGGGAAGGTGGCTCAGTGGTAGAGCGCTTGCCTTGCATGCATGAGGCCCTGGGTTCGATTCCTCAGCACCACATAAGCAAAAAGAAAAAAGCTGGAAGTGGTGCTGTGGCTCTAGTGGTAGAGCACTAGCCTTGAGCTGAAGAGCTGAGGGACAGCGCCCAGGCCCAGAGTTCAGGCCCCACGACTGACCAAAAAGATAAATAGGTAAATAAATAAAGGGGAAGTGTGTACCTTACTTGGGGCCTTGTTGCAGAAGCCATTATGTCTCTCAGTCTCTCGTTCCTCCCTCCCTCTCTCCCTCTCTTTTTCTTTCTCCGTTTCCCTCTCCTTCTCTGTCTCTCCCTCTTCTTCCCTCCCACCCTCTCTGTCTGTCTGTCTGTCTGTCTGTCTGTCTGTCTGTCTGTCTGTCTGTCTGTCTCTCTTCTCTGTGGCAAAGTTCCCGCTCCCTCTCACACTCATCCTGCCCTCCCTCCTGAGGGTCTGTGACCGAGCCAGGCATCCGTGCCCGCGCCAGGCCCGCACGCAGGCACCCTGAGCTCTGCAACCCTCCTTTTTGTTTCCTTAGCCTGCCTCGGGCATTTCGTGACAGCCACGAAAGCAGGCTGCTGGTGTCCGTGACACCACCAAGATGGGCAGGGAACTCCAGGGGATGGAAGGGAAGTACCTACCTCAGCTCACTTCCACAGCCAAGGCCCCTCTCCCGAGGGACAGGAGGGCTGGTCCAGAGGGCCCCACTGGCGAAGGGGTGCGTGTGGCCCGCGGGCTGGCAGAGGAGTTCGTGAGGTGGCCTGAGCCCGCGCTGGTTCAGTCGCTGGGCGGCAGAAAACCTGCTGGGGCACAGGCAAGGTGAGCAGGGTAGACAGGTGGGCACGCTGCCAGTGCCGCGCGAGGCCCGGAGGGCATGGTGCCTGCTTCGGGAAGGCCACAGTGAAGTGGTTCCTGGGCCCTGGGACAGGGCTGCTGGACGGTCAGCAACGCTGTCCTCCAGGCATGCAACAGAGGAAAAGCTGCACGGGTTGTCCTCAAGATCCAGCCCTGGGAGACTTCCCCAGCTTCCTGCGGTGTCCCTGCAGCGCCCTCTACTGGCCAGGCTCGCGGTCCCTAAGCTCAGCCGGGTTAGCGCTGCTACAAGGAGTGATCCAAAAACAATTAAGTCCAATTAGACAAAGCCACGTAATCTGTCTACAGCTCCTTTAACATGATTTGTTTCCTTTTGTTTGAATCTCATAGATTTCACCAATAAGTTTCCAATTGTGTGTGTGTGTGTGTGTGTGTGTGTGTGTGTGTGTGTGTGTGTGTGTGTGTGTGTGTGTGTATAGTACTGGGAATTGAACTCAGGGCCAGAATGCTGTCCTTGAGCTTTCTTGCTCGAGGCTAGGGCTCTACCACTTGAGCCACAGCTCCACTTTCCGGCTTTTTGGTGGTGAATTGGAGATAAGAGTCTCACAGAGGGAGCCGGGCGCTGGTGGCTCACGCCTGTAATCCTAGCTACTCAGGAGGCTGAGATCTGAGGATCGCGGTTCAAAGCCAGCCCGGGCAGGAGAGACCGTGAGACTCCTATCTCCAATAAACCACCAGAAAACCGGAAGTGGCGCTGTAGCTCAAGTGGTAGAGTGCTCGCCTTGAGCTGAAGAGCTGAGGGACAGCGCCCAGGCCCAGAGTTCAGGCCCCACGACCGACAAAAAAAAAAAAAGAGTTTCACAGAGGGAGGGAAAGTGGGAGAAAACAAGGGAGGGGGTAACAATGTTCAACAAGAAGTGTACTCGTTGCCTACGGATGTTAACGAATGTTACGGTAACCCCTCTGTACGTCACCTTGATAATAAAATTAAATTAAAAAAGAGGTAGAAGGTGAGGGGGAAGAGAGTCTCATGGAGATTGCTGGCTTTGAATTGTGATCCTCAGATCGCAGCCCTACTGAGTAGCTGGGATTACAGGTGTGAGCCACTGGCACCTGCTCCAATTCTTTTTTTTTTTTAACGTCTTCTGTAATTTGCTCTCCAGAAGTTGGTTCCCTCTAGGTATTCTGTTTTGCCTTCTTACTGGGGGCACATGCCTTTCTTTTCTTGGCTTATCCTGGTGAGACACAGAGGGAGAGAAAAAGAGAGAGCCTCTGACTTGTATAATCTGAGACCCAGTATTTCATTTCACAACTGAATTCTCTACTTGATTTAAGCTTGTCTGCCTATTGTCTATTTCATTTCAGGGCAGACCCCCGTCCCTTCCAAACATTACAGTGGTGTCCCAAGGCACTTGAGTTTAGTGGCAGTGAAAGGAACAGGAGCTGAGCTAAGAACTGTTCTTTCTCTACCCTGGAGGGATTGTGGAGGGCAGTTCAGGTCGGGCTAGGTTGTGAATTGAGCCTCCAAACATGTTAGAAAAAAATTGGCAGCACAACCAACAGCAGACATGGCCAAGTAGCCGCACAAAGATTTTTTCAGAAAGCAATTGGAAATCTCACCTTGCGTGCTAACGGAGAAGAGGGTAGCAGAAACAGAGCCCTCCAGGTGCTGTCTTGTGGGAGTGTAGGTTATTAATAGGCCTCAAATTTGAGTCAAGACAACGTTCTTAGGTGTCAGACAGCCTGTTCTTCCAACTATTCTATTATCTTCTGAAGCGTTGGATGTAATTAGTGTTCTCTAATGATGCCCTGTAGGAACTGGCTCAGCAGAAAGGTGGAGCGAAGCTAAGACTTCCTCCAGAGATGGTGTCTACACTAAACTTAGTCTACTTAGGGTCCTTCCAAACTGTCTTCTTCTCTTTAGACCAGAAAATGACAAAAGGGGAAAACTAAAGGAACTTAATCATTCTGCCAAAATCATGTATCTATACATTGTGACTATCTTGCTTTTTCTTTTTTTCTTTCCTTTTGCAATTAATGAACATTTTGGACTGCACGCAGGGAAATTGACACACAGCCATCTCAGAATCTTACTGAGCTCTACCTTTGTTAGCTCTTATGTGGACCAAGGAAATGGCAATATTTAATCATCAAGAAAAATGCCAGACGCCGGTGATTTCACACCTGTCATCCTAGCTACTCAGGAGGCTGAGATCTGAGGATCATGGTTCAAAGCCAGCCCAGACAGGAAAGTCCATGAGACTCTTATCTCCAATAAATCACCAGAAAACTGGAAGTAGTGCTGTGGCTCAAGTGGTAGAGCACTAGCCTTGAGCTAAAGAGCTGAGGGACAGTGCCCAGGCCCAGAGTTCAAGCCCCACGACTGACCAAAAAAAAAAAAGATGCACCTGTTCCTTAGAGGGTAATGGGATTTGTGGATTTTCCCCTCCTTTTTACTCATTCATATTTTTCTGCCTCTGGCATTCTTTGTGAGATTAGATAGATGTAAAGATTTTAAAGAGAATACGTGCACATTTTTCTTCTCTAAGTCTTGGGTGCACACACACACACACACACACACACTCACTTCTCAAATCTAACCAGACCCTTGGTAAACTCTTCACTTTCCCTGTTCAGATTAACTGGAAAAGCAAAACAAGAACAAAACACCAAAAAAAAAAAAAAAAAAACTGAGAAGACTTCAGTTTGGAAGAGATTTTTGAAAGAGATTTAGCTCCTCACTCCCAAGCGTCTAAAAACAGCCGGCTTTGTCTTCTCCTACTCACCAAGCGGTGCTGGCTGCCACACCTGTCTCAAAAGTGACAAAAATCCAGGCGAGGGATACAAACCTTTTCCAAGATGCTTGCACATTTCTGTGGCAGGTGAAAGCGTTAGCCAGGAGCACCCCGGGGAGACATGCTGTGGGTGTTAGTGTACCTCGCACAAAGTAGCACCGATGCCCGGGCACCTTGTCGTGTGGTCTAACCTTTGCTATGTTGCTCTGTCCTTCCAGATTTTTGACAATGAAGCCAAAGACCTAGAGAGAGAAGTTTGTTTTATTGACATTGCCTGCGATGAAATTCCAGAACGCTACTACAAAGAATCGGAGGTAAGCTATAGACAGGTGGGGTGTGGAGGAAATTCGTGCATCTGATCATGTGTTCATAGGATTGGTCATTCACTCATTCCCTCAGCAGATACCGAGGGACTCCTAATCCAGGAGCCTTTCATTCAGTCCTGTGTAGATTGAAGTTTGGGTCACATCTTGTTTGAGTTTTTTAATGGAGGTCTCAAAATTAAGAACTCTGTACTTCCTCGGGCCCATCACTGGACCTGGCTGCCACTCCAATTCTATTTAGCTTTTCTCTTTACCCAACACAATCTGGACAACAGTGGTGTCTTCCTTCCTTCCTTCCTTCCTTCCTCTCTTTCTCTTTCCTTTCTCTCTCTTTCTCTTTCCTTTCTCTCTCTTTCTCTCCCTTTTTCTTCTTTCCTTCCTTCCTTATCTCTTTTTCTTTCTCTATTTCTTTCTCTTTCTTTCTCTTCCTTTTTCTTTCTTTCTCTCTCTTTCTTCCCCCTTTCCCTTTTTTCTTCCTTCCTTTCTTTCTCTCTTTTTCTTTCCTTTCTTCCTTCATCTCTCTTTTTCTCTCTTTTTCTTTCTCTTTCTTTCCTTTCTTTCTCTTTCTCTCCCTTCCTTCCTTACTTCCTTCCTTCCTTCCTCTCTTTCTATCTTTCTTTCTTTCTTTCTCTCTCTCTCTCTCTCTCTCTTTCTCTCTTTCTCTTTCTTATCTTTCTCCTTCCCTCTCTTTCTCCCTCCCTCCCTCCCTTTCTCTCTTCCTCCCTTCCTTCTCCTGTTCTTGAACTCAGAGCCTGGATGCTGTCCCTGAGTTTTTTGTTCAAGGCTACTGCTCTACCACTTGAGTCACAGCTCCACTTCTGGGTTTGGGGTAGTTAATTGGAAATAAGAATCTCACAAACTTTTCTGCCCCTACTGGCTTTGAACCCTGATCCTCTCAGATCTCACCCTCTTGAGTAGCTAGGATTACAGAATATGTGTGTATGTATACATGCATACGTGATGTGTATATATACATCCATGTGTCTATACATGCATGTATACATACTTTGACTTTGGTATTAGTGCTTTGATACAGAGTCTGTGGAGCCCAGGCTGGCCTCAAACTCCTGCAGGTGTGCACCACTCCACTGCGCCCAGATCGGGAACTGTATTTCCTGTGTTTCTCTGGAGTTTCACATAAAGAAAATCCTTAATCCGTCCTCAAAACTTTGACAGGTCATGTTGGCCCAGAACCATTCTCTTAAAATAGCATGTACGTTCCGTGAGAGCGTCTTTGTTCTTGGCTGAGGATAGATTTAAAGCAACAGCTTTCTCCCTGGTTTCTGTCCTACCACGATCTGCCCTTTGCCTTTCCAGCCCCTTTTTATTTTACTATTACTGCAAGTCACTGTCGAGATCCTGTTAGTCTTTTATTAATGGCTGCTGACGGAACTTGAGTGACCTGCTTGTGACTGCAGTGACAACAGATGTAGGGCTATTTTTGTTGTTCAACAACACGCGGCCAGTCACAGTATGTTTGGAAACCAGAGCCCCAGACTTGTCCTTGAGCCCAACATATGGACCTTGGAACCCTTCTCTTCAATTTACTCAGGCTGTTCGAAGATGTAATAAATGAGCTTAGAAAAAGTGAATCCCATGGACTGGGAAGGTGGCTTCATGGCAGAGGTTCTGGGTTCGATTCCTCAATATTACATAAACAAAAAGATAATAATAAAACTATATTAAAAGGGCTGAGAAGGTGGCTCAGTGGTAGAGTGCTTGCTTTGCATGCATGAGGCCCTGGGTTCAATTCCTCAGCACCACATAAGCAGAAAAAGCTGGAAGTGGTAGAGCGCTAATCTACAGCTGAAGAGCTGAAAGTCAGCGCCGAGGCCCAGAGTTCATGCCTCATGACCGACCAAAAAAATAGATAGATAGATAGATAGATAGATAGATAGATAGATAGATAGATAGATAGATAAAAAGTGAATTCCAGACAGGCACCAGTGGCTCATGCCTATAATCCTAGCTACTCAAGAGGCTGAGGTATGAGGATCACAATTCAAAGACAGCCCAGGCAGGAAAGTTCATGAAACTGATATTTCCAATTAACTAGCACAAAAGCCAAAAGTAGAGTCCGGTGTATATTTGTTTTTGTTTTTTGTTGGTCGTGGGGCCTGAACTCTGGGCCTGGGCACTGTCCCTCAGCTCTTCAGCTCAAGGCTAGCGCTCTACCACTTGAACCACAGTGCCAGTTCCAGCTTTTTCTGCTTTTGTCCTGCAGGAGGCCCTTGAACCCAGGGCCTCATGCATGCAAGGCAAGCACCCTACCACTGAGTCACCTTCCCAGCCCATGGTGTATGTTTGTCAAAGATGACTCTAGATAAAAAATGCATTGGGGCAGGGCCAAGTAGAAGTCAGGAGGTCACCAAAGTCATCAGATTTATTTCCATAGTTGGATGTTTAGGTTATATGAGGTGGCTTGAACTGGGACACTTATTTTGAAGATAGAATTGACAGAGGCTGTTTGTGGACTGCACATGAGAGAGAAGGAGTCCGGCTGATGCTAAGGATTCTGGTATGGGCAACAGTCAGATGACATTTGCTAAAATGATGGGGAGAAGAAGAGATTTGGGAGGAAGGTGGGTAGATTTAGTGATGGCAGAGAACTTCTTGAACGAAAGAAAATGAGTGGGACTTAGGTGTGAGAGGACTTGGAGATGAACATGGCAATTAGAAGACATTTAGAGTCCAATGACTGGATGAACGGGAGAACATAGATAATGCAATAGGAAAGGGGTTCAGGAAGAGGAAGAGCTGGTACCAAGAGTCTATAGAGAATTAGGGGGAAGATGCGGAGGGTCTGCCAAGGAAGGCAAGTTTCAAGAGAAAGAAGAAGGTGATCGCTTGTGTCAAATGCTGCAAGAGAGTCCAGTAAGATGGGTGGACCACTGAGTGGGAAGTGAGTGAACCCAATGGAAAACTCTTATGGAAACAGCTCCCTCCAGGACAACTTTGCCCCCACAAGATACTTGTCTCCTGCCAGCTTTGTTTGTCACTAACTGCTACTGCATTTAGTGGGTGCAGACTGGGAGTACTGCATCCTTCAACCGCAGATCACCCCTTTGCAATAATCATCATCTAGTACTGCCAAGGCTGGGAAGATTTACCCTAGAGGCAGAGGATACTGGAGTTGGATGGACCCCTGGTCCAGCCTTACACTGGAGCCTGCTCTGCCTGTCTTGGAGTCTTAGGGTAAGTCTAGTGGATGTGGCAGAAAAAAAAACACTCTAGAGCTCATCTCTGCTCCCCGAGATCTGCAGGGCCAGGAAGAATTTCCCCTCTGCCACAGCTCTGTTAATTCCACCACAAGGGGCTAGATGCATACTCCATCTGCAATGGGAAGAATGTCCATGGGGGACTCCAACTCGCCATCACTGGACACCTCTTCCCGCCCAACCTCCCCCCACTCCTCCCCGGACCTCAGACTGGAGTTGAAATTCCCCAGCATTGAGAGAGGTGAGTTTTCTAGGTTGTTTTGGTTGTGTGACTATCATGGATTGCCAGGACCGAGAATAGAATCCAGACCCGGCAGACCATTTCCAAGTCCATAGCTACTTCAGCACTGCGGTAAATAATTAACACGCTTCTCCCTGCCACAGCTTTCCTTCCACCGGGAGCTCTGACCTTGTCGCTCCCTGATTAAAAACCCCGCCTGGGTCTGCTCCCACACTGCTTCCCGCTAGCGGAGCCTTCCTGAGCACGTGCTCCCCGACCAGTCTGCGGGCCGTGCTTCTAGATCATACTAGCTCATGTGCGATCACTCTAGCACATGTTAGATCATGCTAGCACATGATCATACTAGCTTATGGTAAATCATGTTAGATCATACTGTCTCGCATTAGATTCTCCTGGCTCATGATCTAATACTTGATCCTGTTAGATTACAGTAGCTCATGTTAGACCATACTCGATCATATTAGATACTTGGTCATGCTAGATCATGCAGGCTCATGCTAGATCATGCTAGCTTGTGTTAGATCACACTAGATTGTGTTAAGTCATGCTGGCTCTTGATAGTTCATGTTAGATCACCTTGGGTCATGCTGGCTCATGTAGATATGTCAGATCATGCTACTTGTGTTCAATCGCATTAGATCATGTTAGTTCACATTGGCTCAGGCTAGCTCACGTGAGATCACTCTGATTGTAACCGTAGCCTCACCAAGCCCCGCTCTGCGTCTTCTTTTATTCTCCCCCATCCACGGTTCTGGAGCGCCAGCACTCAGCAGATGCTCACTCACAGTCACGGAATGAATGAGTGAAGGCCACGGCTTCGTGTTTTTCTCCCAGCAGTGACAATTTCATAGCGAGTTCTATGAAAGAAGATGGATTTGTTACCATTAAGCTAGCAGTTGTGAATCAGGGTTCTTTTTTTTTTTTTTTTTTCCATCTGAGGCGTACTGCCTTATGGGCTTGTTCTTCCCATCCATCCTTCTAAATTGCCTGTGTCAGCATCATAAACAGGAGCGCATTTCCTGCTCGGGTGGGCAGACTCTGTTCCAAGATGCTTGATGCTAATGGATCTAGACCAGGGTGTGTGGGGGCCACCCCTCTCACCCCGCTACCACAGCACACCTGCTACCCAGGCCAGCCCAGGAGATTTTCCATCTCTCCCTGGAAACCTCTGAGACACATACCCCAGATTGCCATTCTCAGTGAAGTGACCAGAGCTGGGAATTTTCCACAGGCTACCCTCTGCCTGACAGTGATTATGCCCCTCTCCCCCCTCCCCACCCCCACCCCATGCTTGCCCCAGGGGTTCAGAGATCAGATCCTCCTAGCATGCACCTTAGTCTCATATTTTGCAGCGCTACTGTTTTCTATCTAAAACTAGGGCTTTAAGTTTCAGCTCCTGCGAGTCCCTGAGCCTCCACTTTCATTCCTCTATCTAGTGGAGGATCTTGCAGGGTAAGATCATTAAAAAACAAATAAAATCAGCACGATTTCTGTAGCAGAAAAAGCAAAGCACTGGAGAGGGTAAAGCTGAC